ATCAATGCTGCATGTGGAAAGCAGCAGATCACATGGCACCAGTACCGGTGACCACATGCATGTGAGCTGAGGTGTATGCATGCGGAAATTGAAAACCTGATAAATGCCCCAGATTTAAATAGGTCATCATGACCTGGCCTTCACGCCTGCAGATACACACACACACACACACACACACACACACCCCTAGGCTTCACAAGTACCTTTGCCTGCGGGTGAAAGCAGCCGCAGGCGCAAGCGGCCACTGATGTCGTTGATGTCCAACCGATGGGTGCGCCCGCGCCTAAGCCACCGGTTGCCCAGGGAGTATCCGATTGCACTCGTTCCGGTCGTTGCATGGAAGGCGAGCAAACATGTCCTTGGGCGGAGTAGTTGCAGCTGGTTGAGAGTTGGTGATCCAATGGTTCACCATCCTCACTTGCAGTAAAGCAGAGACCTGCAACGCCATAAATACCAGGGGCCTTCACAGCTATAAAGTACAACCCGATACGCAGGACATGCCCGGTGAAACGTTTTGGACATATAATGCTGAGGAAAAGATGTTTAACATGTGCGCATGACAATACAATTATTCAAGCAAATCCCCAAGTCAACAAACAAGCCAAACGAGCAAACAAGTCCTTGGTCGGAGTAGATTGCAGCTGGTTGAGAGAGGTGATCCAATGGCTCACCATCCACACTTGCAATGAAGCAGAGACCTTCAATACCAAAATACCAAAAGCTTTCACAGCTATGAAGTTCAACCCGATAAGCAGGACATACCTCATGGAGCGGTGTTGACATATAATGTTGAGCCAAAGTTGTTAACATGTGCGCATAACAAAAGAATTATTCATACCATTATTCATACCATATAACCTACTTGAATTGTATAAGAACGCGTATTCAGTGCCACTCGACTACCTTTTGGAGCGCCCCTCAATGTCGTGCAGTTGGTTCCGGAGGCGGCGCGGGGCCTTGGCCATGCCATCCATACCTCTTCGTGCTTCGACAGTCTTCGTCACTTCATGTAGACTGTTCTTTCGCAGTTCTAGTTATTAACAGACGCCTGCAAGAAACATGGCTGGGGTTACTGGTGCATATGGCTGCCGCGATCAGGGGCATGAGCGCCAGCCAAGTCAGGTAAGAAGCAGCTTTCCTTTTATAACATGTCAGGTGACCACGGCGCAACCTCGGTGACTACCCGGGCTGGTGCCTACCTAGTGCGCCAATGGATCACCTCACTGATAGTGCCCTTCTCGATGGCGATATGTATTGACTGGTATGCCCGACATGTTTCTGACTAATGCAGAAGAGGCAACGGCTTGAGGCGCTTGTGGAACTGGGCCGACCTGGCCAATTTGCTGGTGTACGGGCTGGAGCTCGACCCAAACGAGGCATCGGACGCAGCAATTGCGCATCAGCTTCTTGATAATGGGCTGAAGGACTTTACGACCATGAAGGCAGTGACCGGCGGTAAGGTCGCGTCTATGCATCCACTTTATTGTAGCCGTGGTAGTGCCCTGCATGCCCATACATACACCCTTACACACATGTCGTGTGCACATCCAAGAGCACACCACATGAACAAGTCGTGCTTCACATGTCTCGGGAACTTTTTACCCTACCCCAACTAGAACCAGTTTTCTGAGCCATGTTGCTGTGTTTGTTCATCCCATGCTGCATGTGATGCAGAGGTGAGACCAACACTGCGTTTGTGAATGCAAAACCGACCATTTCATCATTGCTGGAGCTGGCACCTGGCCTGACAGCAGTAAAGGCCCTTCAGCTCGCAAAGGGAGCTTGTGCCCCGGCTGTGCAGCGGCATGATTCCTCGGCCGAGGACCTGACAGGGCTCCCTGATAACCGCCCAACCGATGAGGACTTGGCAGAGAAGATCGCGGTGAGTCTATGGACACTAGGATTCCTTGAGTGCCAGAGGGATGGGGTCATGGTCAGATTTCGACATGCAGCTATCCCTGGCCCCCTTGAAGGGGCAAGGGGGAGGTTACGGGACACAGGA